TAACGATTCCAGATTCGACTCATTAAACTTGGCATTAGCCTCTGTATGCTTATCATAAACAGAGGCAGAAAAATGTCATTTATTTTCAATATAACAGGCCGTAGAGGCCTTGCTGGAAACTATGCCCACATGATCCGACCATGAAAGCACCACGTGGAAAACCTGCTCCTGAGAATCGCGCTACTGGTAACCACGGATCGTTACAGTGTCGAAAGAACATGTGTAAAAGAGGCAGCCAGTCGTTGAAGGAGACTTGGTAAGTCTTGTCCACATTTGTCTGTCAACTGTGTGTATGTGTGTTTTGAGTGTGAAGTTGTACGAATAGGCAGCGGTGCGTTTCATTGTCATATGTAAACAGTTTCGAGGCTATTGACGTGTGCCCTCATCGTTGCAGACCTACTTCACGGGCTGCTACAGTAGTATTAGGCAGAAATTGAGGAATCACAAAGTACTAGTTAAATGATAATATTGTCAACAAGATGTGAACAGACGCTTACTAGAGAGAACCTTCTGTATGACGGGTGAGTCGGCAACGATGGCAAGTGCAAGAGAGTCGGAAAAGCGTAAGTACAATGTTTGTACAGAGCCTCTGGTTAGGACCTGTTCTTTTCTATGCAATTTGTTGAACGATGCCATTTAACTCACTGGCGTGAAAATATCACAGTGTGCCTAAAGCAACCTTGTCGCCCAAGAGAATAAGCTTTTCTTTTGCTTCATTATTTCTTCCTCTCATAATATTTGCTACGACAAACTACTTACCCACTTAACGATGTTATTTGAGCGGTTCTATGCGCTGCATGTAACATAACGCTCCAATAATATTCCATAATTTACTGCATTTCTGCGAGACATAACCGAGTAAGGGTTTATGGGATTTACGGAAATATTGGATTCAATAATACATTTGGCTCATGGACTGGAGTAAAAATTCTTACTGAATAACTTTGACCATGCGAAGATTTTGGCAACCTTCTAAAGTATTTCAAAGAATCTTCCCAAACGCCCTGCTTCTCTAATCATTTTTTCATGTTTGATGAATCGAGTCGATAACAGTCAAGGAAACGGTATTCAGCAAAAATCCTCAATTGAGGCAGATTTTACGTTAGGCGTTAGGCGCACGAACTTTTTCCACTCTCTTTCTTTCGCTCCAGTGGAACAAACTCGAGAAGTTTTAAAACTCGTTCCTGAATTAAACAAATAATAGTTCTACTGGAGCATATGTGCTTATAGACTACTCTAAATAGTAACTATTTTTGTAACTTTAAGGAGTGACCGTTCAGATCTACGTTAAGTGAGCAAACACCCGCATTTTGCTCTAAATGCTTGAAACTGCTATGAGGTAATACATCACTATTATAGAAAAATAAGTATTTCTACAAAATTTCATCACCGATTTTGTATGATCGATCACCTTTGCTATCGTGCAATCTGAAATGTCACTTCTGATGCATGAAAGATGAAATATAATAAAGTATATAATAACAGACCTTCTCAACAGAAGATATACCAAAATTCTTTGCATCCGATTGCTGAATTGTTGCTTCTTATCTTCTCACAATTTCGAAGAACCCAATAATACCAACGAAACAGAACTTTCTAAATGCTGGTTTCTGACATTTGACTATTAATTAAATAATTTACGTGTTACTCTATCCTTTCAGGAATTATATCTATGGCATTTTGTTCTGTCTTCTGATTGTTTTCTGACGTGCTTTAAGTTCAGCAGCTGCCTTGAGCCAAATTAATATATAAAATAAGGTGGGCGAAATTTCTCAAAATGATTTAAGCATTCATTACTTCGACAAAAAACATGCACCTTGTCTGAAGCAGATCTGCTTCTAGTATGTTTCGTCAGATCTTATAAACTGACCTCTTTTATATCTCCTATGGTCTGCTTCCGTAGAGGGCAAGTTATTCCCATGTTTTCTATCATGTGAGGTGTTTCAAGAAGACGAGTGATTTTCCTAGTTTTTACGGAGTAATTTCACTCAGGCGGATTTCAGCATGTTATCGTAGGTTTATTCGACGATATCACTGGACCTACCTTGAAAGTTGTTGTATCATATGGTACCTCTTTGTTACAAATAAAATGCAAAATGAACTTTGCCTACACAAAGCTCTACTGAGAAAGGAGGACCGTTGGAGACCGTGGCAAAGTCTCCGTAAAATGTAGTAACTCATGGTATTGACGCCATCGAAAATTATACCAGCTCGGTAGTCCCGTGTTACCAAAGGCTGCGGAGGCTGTTGGGGAGGGGGGACAGACGCAGACTACAAAAAGTCAATCAGAACCTGTCCATTGCCCTCAGCAACGGAGTCGCAACCCGTTCTGAACGGAGGACGCAGACGGCGCGATGCCATTATACCACGTCAGACAAAGCTCCATGAAAACGACACCGCCAGAGGGAGCTCACACTTGGAAATTGGAATGTATCCTCACTCGGAAGGAAAGAGCACGAGTTAGTTGATGAGGCCATAAAGCACCAACTCGACATTGTTGGATTCTCGTCAGCGAAGCGCCAAAGTTTTGGACTACGGAACCTCAGCGGATGAAACGTATTCTACTAAGGGTCGATTGATAAGGTGTCGATATCACGACAGGCGTTCAGGCCGCTGTTGATGTTTTTGTAGAACCCAACCTAACAGATAAAATCATTGACTGGATGCTCGTCAGCGGAAGGGTTCGAACAGGATAAGGACGCTGTAGACACCAACTCCATCGATGGAAGATGAAGTTCAGCCCGCCATGTGACTGCTATGTAGCACATTATTTCAGAGTGTCCACTGCGAAAGTTCGACGGCAGCATAACTGAAGTCCAGAATGCTACCACGGCGGCCGTTCACATGCCTAGAAATCTTGACACTCACCTACGAAGTTGCCAGTCATTTCCTCCAGCCACACGATTAAAGAAGAAGCAGAGAGGTGGCAATCCTCTAACTGAAGCCACAACAAGCTAAAGCGTTGACCTTACTACAGGTCTATGCACTCAATTTAGAGTTTGAACATGATACCTACTTTGAGGAAGGGCAGTGTGCTCTGTCTGAAATGCCAAATACAGAGTCCCTCATACTGATGAACGATTTCAATGCGCATGAGTAGAAACTGAAAAGTGGAACGATGCGATTGGAACAAACGACCCAAGCGACCTCAACAATAACTTCATGAAGTTCTTACAGTTTTGTGCAAACAACGGATTACCTATCTTGAACACCTTCTTCGAGCATCGAAAAGTGCATCAGTACACTTGGTACCGGGAAGCTTGTGCACAGAAGTCAATGATCGATTTGATAATCGTTTCGTCTGATTTAAGGCGCTCGGTAATGGATGTTCGCATTAAGAGAGGAGTAGAGCTATCAACCGATCATCACCTTGTTGTTGGCACGCCGCGCGGAGTACCACACGGAGATCTGGTGACAGAAACAACCGGAGAATCAAATGGGAAAAATCGTCTTCAGAGGACATGAGATCGAAATTTACAAAGAAAATCGCACGACGGTTTCAACAGATCCCTGACGACCACGAATGTGGAAACCGAATGGCAGCCTTTCAGGGGCTGCATACTCGAGGCTGCCGCCGAATGCCTGAATTTAAACGCGGTGGCCTGCCTCCTGGAGGTCAGCAAAAATCTTCATGGTGGACACGAGAGGTACAGCTGGCAGTTAATGAGAAGAAAGCAGCGTTCAAGAAATGGCTTGTAAACAAGGAGCCATCTACACGCGTGCAATGATGCTATGCCATCTACCGCTAAGGAGGCGGCCATAGCAGTGGCAAAAGCCAAGACTGACTCCTGAGAAAAA